TAGAATGCTGTTTCTCAAACAAAGCAAGGCTTGACATGTCATTAATTTTGGAATGCGATGGGTGATCTTTGCATTTATGTCAAGATAATATTTAAAAGACATGAAACATCTCTGTAGGTGGAGCGACCATTCATTCAATTCCACGTACAGGCTTTCCACGGGGCTAGTGCGAAAAGCACCCGTAGAGAGACAGATGCCTAGATGATGATGAACAGGGTCAAGCATTTTAAGGACAGTAGGTGTCGCAGACTGATATGCTATTGCCCCATAATTTAGGCGGGTGCGTATGAGGCTTTTATACAAATTTATTAAACACTTCTTGTCACTTCCCCACGAAATGCGTGACAACACTTTTAGAACGTTCATAGCTTTTATGCACTTGTTTTTTAAATATTTGATGTGTGTTATGAAGGTTATCTTCGTGTCCAAGATTAGGCCTAAGAATTTGTGTTCGGTATTAACAGAAAGATGTTGCCCATGCAGTTGAATATCGGGTTCGGAATGAATGCCTCTCTTCGTGGAGAACAAGACACACGTGCTTCTCTGTGCATTCAGTCGGAACCCATTTTCCTCTGCCCAATCCGAAACTTTGATCAAACCAAGCTGAACCTGTCGCTCCCACATGGCCAGATTACAAGACTTGAAACCAAGCTGGACGTCATCGACATATATACTATAAAACATATTGCGAGGAATGGACAAGCGAAAAGAATTCATTTTGATAATAAAAGCGTGCAACTAAGTACACCACCTTGCAGCACGCCTGTTTCTTGGACAAATGTTTGAGAAAGAACCATGCCCACTCGAACGCAGAGCGTCGGATTCGACAAGTAACTTTCGATTATAATAAACATTCTGCCTCGCACACCAAGGTGGGACAGGTTTCTTAATATTCTGAAGCGCCATGTTGTATCATATGCCTTTTTGATGTCGAGGAACACAGAAAGGAGGTATTGCTTGTGAACGAAAGCATCTCTGATCTGTGCTTCGATACGAATAAGGTGGTTGGTGGTGGACCTACCCTCTCGAAACCCGTACTAGATTTGGTCGAGCAAATTGTTTGTTTCAAGAAAATGTACAAGTTGCCAGTTTATCATTTTTTCGAAAAGTTTGCACAAGCAGCTTGTAAGTGCAATAGGCCTACAACTCAAAACTGAAGAAGTCCCGGGACCTTGCCCTGTTTCAAAATGGGAATAACAAAAGCCTCTTTCCAGGAAGCAGGGATAGCGCCAGAGAACGAGATAGCATTGTAGAAGCAAAGTAAGGTTTTTGTGTTTCAATTGGTAGATTTTTTAAGATTTCATACACCGCTTGGTCAGAACCTGGGGCGGAATTACTGCAGGAGTTTAGTGATGTTTGGAGCTCAGCTAAGCTGAAAGCTTGGTTATATGCCTCGTATCTAGTACATTTGTTTTTGGGTTTCTGCATTTCTATTCTTGTTCTGTATTTTTGAAAAGAATCTGTAGAGTGTGACGAGCTGGACACCCGTTCGAAGTGTGCACCAAGGAAGTTCGCCTGATCTTCCAAGGTGTCGCCCTGTGTGTATACGAGTGGGAGTGAGTGCACTTGTTTTCCTCCTACCCTACTAACCATGCTCCAGACTTTAGCCTCTTGCGTATATGAATTGATTTCTGATAAAAACTTCTGCCAGCTTTCTCTTCTGGCCTGCCAACACATTCTCCTGCCTTGAGACTTCATTTTCCTAAAGCTGTCAAGATTTTCGGTTGTCGGTGAGTTCCGAAGCAACCTCCATGCTTTGTTTTGCTGTTTGTGCGCGTTTAGGCACTCAGTGTGCCACCATGGCACACGTCGTCCATTCATTTGTGGGATGTATTTTGTTGCAGCATAAATCGAAAATGCTGTGAAGTAGTTGACAGCAGCATCGATGCTCAAAGTACATGTATCATTCCAACCTAAACGAGCGATGGTATAAAACTGCTTCCATTCAGCTCTGTTTGTGAGCCAGTTGGGAACCCGTGGTGGACACTCAGTTGCTGTAATTGTGCTCAAAACTACGGGAAAGTGGTCACTTCCGTAAGGATTACTGATGACTTTCCAGTGGAGTAGAGGCACAAGGGACAAAGATACTATGCTTAGGTCTATGGAAGAATAGGTTCTGTTAGCGGGATAATAATAGGTTGGTTCTTTTTGATTCAGAAGACACGCGCTTGACGAGAGGAGGAACTGTTTAATCAGTCGACCTCGTGCATCGCAACGAGAGTCACCCCATAGCTTGCTATGTGCATTCAAGTCTCCAAGGAGAACGTAAGGTTCTGGAAGTTCATCAATTAAAGATTGCAAATCGTGTTTTTGCAGCTAATAGCTTGGAGGAATGTAAATAGTGCAAATTGTGACCAGTTTATCAAAAAGAACAGCTCGAACAGGCACTGCCTCAAGGAACGTTTGAAGTTGTGTGTGCATGCGATCCCTTGATTGACTATAATGGCATTATCACGGTCCTTTAAAAAAATAGTGTAGTCGCGTAGAAAGTTGGTGTGTCTTGGTTTTAGGTGCGTTTCTTGTACACACAACACTTTTGATGAGTGTTTGTATAAGAGTTCTTGGACATCGTCAAAGTTCCTTAGAAGGCCCCTGATGTTCCATTGTATAATTTGAGTGTTCATGGTGAAAGTAAAGTAGTGTTGTGTGTACAAAGAGCGAGTGGCTATTCAGGCGGGCAGTTTGAATTTAAGTAACAGGGCCATCACCAGGCCCTGTTATCTGATTTTGTTTTCCTGGGGTGCTCCGTGGAGCCACGCCGCTCCCTCGGCACCAAGGATACCGACGTATCCATTGCCTCCTTGGAGGCACTGGATGCCCACACGTGCGAGCCGGTTGTTTGAAGTTTACGCCTCGCCTGATGAGGGGAGGCCTTGAGACCTGAAGACCCTGGGGTCTCTGATCTCTGTTCATATGTAGGCAGAGTAGACTCAACTACTGCCGCCTTGGGGGCAGGCGCCGCATCAGCATATCATTTTGGGCCATAGAATGGCGAGACCCTTCTTCTAGCTTTTTTAAATGAGATGTTTTCCTTCACCTTCAACATTATGATTTCTTTTTCTTTCTTCCAGAATAGACATGACCGTGAGTAAGAGGCATGATTTCCATCACAGTTGACGCAGTGTGCTGGTTCTGTGCAGGAAACGGATGTGTGATCCGAAATTCCTGATTGTGCACAAGTTTGCCGGCCACGACAGCTTTGCGAGCTATGGCCATATCGCTGACATTGAAAGCATCGTCGCGGGTTAAGTATGTATGGTCGAACACGAAGCTTTGTGTACTCAGTTATGAGTGTTTCGGGAAGGATGCTGGAGCCAAAGGTAACGATTACATCTTTTGTTGGAGTCTCTTTGCCATTACACTTCATCTTGATTCTTTGTACACTAATTACAGTCTCTTTTTTCCAGCCATCGGGAAGTTCAGCATCTGTCAAGTCAAGTAGGTCATCCTCCGACACGACTCCTCAAACCGTGTTTATTGAATGATGTGCTGAAACAGTGATGGGGACATTACCAAAAGTCTTCAAACTGGATAGTTTATCATATTGTTCCTTGTCTCGAACTTCAATGAGGAGGTTACCACAGGCCATTTTTGTTGCTTTGTACCCTGTTCCAAGTGTGTCTATTAAGCACTTTGAAACTTGGAACGGTGAAAGTTTTCTGACAGGTTTTGCTGGTGTGTCACTGTGAATAACGTGGTAGCGTGGAAAGTTGTTTTCGTTTAGTTGCAATAGCTGAAAGCTTGCTTTGGTGCGCGCCCTCTTCAGGGAGCGATCAATAAAGGGTTGGAAGTTTGTGGCCGTAAAATATGGAGTGTATTCAGTGGCGGTGGCAGGCACCTACCACCGAGCCCAACGAGGAGACACTGCAAGACATGAAGAAATTGCTTGCATACGCCAGCTGTACACCGCCACTATAACATGATGTGAGGCATTCCAAGGTGGGGTGAACACACAAGGTTAACCCTCGCCGCCAGGAAGAATCGGAAGTGAGCAGAAGAGAGAAGTAAACAGGACAGAGTAAAAGTGAGAGATGAAGAAAGACAAAGTCGTAGGGTTGAGAGATAGAAAAAGGCGAATGTTCGTGAAACAAAAGAAGTCCGAACACCTTGCCCCCTGTATTGATTCATGTCACCACAGCTTGTGGCTTCTAATCATTGCGTAGGTTAATAAACAGATGTACACCGATTGAGCTCAAGCTTGGGCATAGAAGAAAACGTGACAAAATGAAAGAAGCCTGTTGCTATCTGGAAGCACAACATGGCATTTCAGCACCTGCAGCCACCACTAGCGATACTCCAAAAGCACATCCGCTTTTGCCGACATTGTTGCAGCTTGTTTCTTGAAAACGATTACAACACACACACGCATTCATGTAATGACATGGCTTTAATGCATGTGGGTCGATCATCCACATCTTCCAGGTTACCATGGAAAAAAAATTGTGGCTGTCATAATGTTACTGTGATGTGGGCGTAAAGTACTCATAAGGCCGGTGTGTGTGTTGCGCGTTGGATGACGAGGTGTGTGGTGCTTGTGTGAAACTGCATGAGCACGGGGAGAGAAGTGTAGAAGAAGAAAAAGGGAGAGCCGCGTGCGGGGAAGAAAGACAGACAATGAGGAGCATTCGACAGAGTCGGGTGACCGAGCCCAACATGACACCTGTATAGTATATTTTTGCAAATCATTTCCAAGCACCAGCATGGCTCTGTGGTAGAATATTCGACTGCCATGCAGCAGGTCCTGGTTCAAATCCTACTCGATCATATCACTTCAACTAAGCAACAGCAACATTAACTTCAACGATGACGACGCTATACACAAGAACAGGTGCCTAAGAGCTGCACTCTTAAGCAACTAGCATTCTCTCTTCTCAATTTTCCCACTAACAAAAGAGTGATGAAATCATGACACAGCATGGCTCAGACAGCACAAAAATTGACCACGGCATATTACAGGATCACTAACAAACATGTAACTTGCCTAACTGAAGATTACTTACCTGCTTTCGTATATAGTTTATAACCTTTACTTGCTGGTAAAAGCCAAGTCTTTCTCGTATCTTCATAAAATCAAATTTATGAATGTCCTGAAATGCACAAAATAGTGTCACAAGTTCAATATGAGTAGCTGGAGTTCAGTTAAAGACAAATCTCCAAACCTTCATGTGCCCTGTGATGGACTGAATGCTGGCATAAGCTTCACTGCAAATCAGACATATGAACCTTGTTTCTTCAGCTTCATCCTCCCAGTCCTCACTGGAAATCATGAAGGCGCACAAACATGTCATATTTTCTGTATGAAACAAATTCACTAAGAAAGGTGAGTTAGAAGGTCACAACCTTTAAGGATTGCCACTTCTCAATGAAAGAAGAACTGGCCCTTCGGAGGCGGGGGGGGGGGGGGTGCATTCACGCAACTGAATTTATGTTGAAAAAAAAAAAAAAAAGACTTCATGTAGTATCTTCGGCATGACTGCCATTTACTACACCATTGCTTTCCAAGAGATAATAGCAATAATAACTGTTAATGTTTTACATCCCAAAACTATGATATGATTATGAGGGTAGCAATAGCAAAGGGCTCTGCAAGCTTGACTATCTGGTGTTTTTTACCCTGCACGTAAATCTAAGTACATGAGTACCTGGCATTTTGCCTTGATCAAAGTGCAGCCGAGGATCGATCCTGCAACCTTCGGGTGAGCAGTTAAACCTTTCAACCACTATCACATTTTTCTGGACCCAACATCAAGCTCACCAACTAGTCTGTTTGATAGAATAAAAGTACCAGTGAATGGAAGAATACTTGTACTAACGAAGGATTTCACGATAACATGCATGGGCATAAGATTCCCCTATCAGTTGCGATGGAGCCAGCTCTCATGCTTAGGTTGAGGCCTGCAGACTTTCCATAACACGCACTATGAAGCTGAAGAATGCGAAGAATGCAATCAAAGGCAGCATGTAACTATTGATGCTAACTTTCACTTCCTTTCAATTATCAGTTATTTACTAGACAGAGAAATAGACATAATACCTGTTCACTAGGCCGGCTGTTCTATTCTCTGACTTTGTTCTTCTCAACTTCGAGTTAGTGCAGATTACGCCTACGCTGAGTACCACTTTAGTTTCTTTACACTTGGCCATGCTGCGACATTTAAAAGACAGCTGCGAAATCGCCTCTGGAGGGCGGCATTGAGTATTGCGTAAAGGTCTGTCCAGGCCATGCAACGACTTGGTCTGATAAGGTGCCAACAGTGTCTCTAGAGGGCGGTATTGTTTGTGCCTAAATGGTCTCTTTTTGGTATGCCACCACGTGTCTCAGGGGGCCGACTATGCCTGCATTTTTGCAGCCACAGGTATTGGCTCCGTTGCAACTTTTCTGGGAAATTTGATAATTATCACTCTGGCAGTTGGCACTGTGTCGTAGTGGCTGCTGTTCTTGGCCACCAGTGGCGTAGCCACGACGGGGGGGGGGGGGGGGGGGGGGTTCAAAGCTTTCTTTCCGAAATTTTTCGGGTGCACCCCCTCCCCGCCACTTAGAGACCTCTTTTTTTGTCGCTTCGTGCTGATATGATTTTGAAACTAAGCGGTGCTGCTATCAAAATATAATATCTGTGCGCTTTTACAGTGAATAATGTGCGCAAACGTAAAAACCTGTCACGGTGTTTGGCAGAGCTTTGGCACTCTGCGAGATTACGGGCGGGAATCTCGGCCGCAAGAGTTTTAAGTTGGCTCAGTGACAGGGATAACGCTGCAGCAGTGGTCATACTTGTACCCGCCAGAACTGATCAGCCCAAAGTCATGATACTATGATAATTTTCACTAGACAGAGATTCATTGATTGATTTGTGGGGTTTAACGTCCCAAAACCACCATATGATTCGCACACGGCCGCAGCCGAGTGCGGGGGAGGTGCCGGCTCCGGTGCGTGACACCACTGATCGTCTGCGCAGCGCATCAAATTGCGCGCACAGCAGCGGCGAGCCGTGCGCGGCGGCAGCGGAGTATTATTGCGCATGCACAGACCAGTGCCACACGAAATTGGCTCAGCGAGGACAGTGTAGCTGACGCTACAAAAAAGACTCATTGTGTATCGCAAGCACACTTGGATGCGTGCAGTAATGTAAACAAAAAAAGTTGACTAACAGCTATCGCAGCGCAAGGGCTGTTTGACATATAAAGCTTAACATAGAAATTATTTCTATAGGCATGCAGTCATAAACATCGACAGTAAGAAATTATTTGCTCAGTAAAGTAACTAAAACCGAAATGTAATTAAAAGTGTACAAAAACATGCTCCATATGCTGCATATACCTCTCCCCCGCAGGGGCGTCTGGTGTGTAGCGACACCACGGACCCGAGCTAATGGGGGGTCTCAAGCTCCTCCCACGCCTAGCCGTGCGTGGCTGAGCCGTGTCTGGGGAAAAGGGGATCCTGGGGGTTGAGCCGACGCTGGCTGATTGGACCTTTAAGGCCCCCCAGCAGAGGCAACACACCCCTTTGGCCCCGGCTTCGCGTAGATGGCACCTTTGGGCTGACCCACCCAGGGGAAATTTGCAGTCGCCTTTTCCTGTCTTTCTCTCCCTCCTGATCTTCGTCTTTTCTCTCTTCCAATCTTTCCTGTCATCTCCTCATTTCTGTTTACTTCTATCTTCCAGGTGGCACGGGTTAACCTTGTGTATGTGCCCCTATTGGTCACGTATTATTGGGTTACAGTAGCTTTCTACAGCTAGCGCTGGCATGCCTTCACAATTGTGCTACCGAGTCCCCATGTTGGGCTCGATGATGGGCGGCTGGCATGGATGCCGAATTTATATATACTTTATGGCCTCTTTTTCATTTCCTAAACTGTCTGATCGCCCTCCTCCTAAGAGGGGGTGCACCGAAGGAACACTGAATGTATTCATAAAGCCAAAAGAAATTTCTCCGTGCTTCCATGAGATCCACTGTGAAACACAAGAAAAGAACGCAAGAACTATCTCTCCGTTTGTCGTTTCCAAATGCCTCAACAAAATACCCTTGGTTCAGGGTATCAGGCTGCACGTATGAATAGTGGGGACCTTCTTCTCGAAGTCCAAACCAAGACCCAGTATGATAACCTGACAAAACTGCCTCTTTTGGAACAACACGTGTATCTATCACACCACACCGTTCCCTGAACAGTTCGCGAGGCATAGTGTCTGATCAAGACCTAATTAACCTGACAGAGAGTGAGCTCCTTGAGGGCTGGAACGAACAGCATGTAACTCATGCACAGAGAATTAAGATTAGGCGTGACAATAAAGAAACCCCGACAAAGCACCTCATTCTTAGGTTTTGCACAAGCACACTTCCGGAATATATCGAAACAGGCTACTTGAAGTTGACTCCCGACGTTGTTTTAAATGCCAGCATTTCGGCCACGGTTCTCTGAGCTGTGGCGGCCGTCAAACCTGTGCAAAGTGTAGTTCGCATGAACACGCTACAGAAAAATGTGAAGAAGCCACTACCCACTGCGCGACCTGCGATGATGGACACCCCGCTTACCTTCGCACATGTCCTACATGAAAACTTGAAAAATAAATACACCCAAAGTAAATGAAAACATCTCGTTTAGGGAGGCGTGCAAGCGTCTATCCTTGCAGGGTCCTTCGTTTGCGGAGGTGGCACGAAAGGCGGCAGAGCCACCAAAATCCGTAGTGCCCTCACGTATCACACAAAGTGAAAGAGCAGCAGCGCCATTCATCCTCTCAGCGGAAGTAGCACAGGCTCTTCCGCCACCAAAAGGTTTGCAGGCCTCCGGACCTGAAGCCCCAGGGCCCTCTGTCTCGACAGATAGCCCTAAGACTTCTATACCCGCACGTGTGAACCGCGAGTGGGCATCCAGCACCTCGTCTGAGGTGATGGACCAAAGGGCAAGTCCCACGGTGTCTAAGGCGCCGAGGGACAGGCGCGGCTCTTTGGAGCACGCCAGAAAGTAAAAAACCATCATCACGGGGCCTGACTCAACGCAATACTTCTTTAGTACACACAGCACTCATTTAAACTCATAATTAACACACCAATAATACAATGAAACGTCAGAGGACTGCTTAGAAACCTCGATGATATTCAGGAACTCTTACACAAACATTCTCCAAAAGTGTTGTGTGTACAAGAGATGCACTTAAACTCCAGGAACACCAATTTCTACGTCAATATGTAATATTCAGAAAGGACCGCAATGACGCTGTCGCGTCATTTGGTGGTGTGGCCATTATAGTTGATCAGGGCGTAGCATGTACACATCTACCACTACAAACATTCTGTTCGAGCAGTTCTTTTGAACAAGCTTGCCACCATCTGCTCTCTTTACATAACTACACAGTACCGTCTCGAAAAACACAAATTCCAGTCACTGATAGATGAACTACCGGAATCTCATGTGGTCCTTTGGAACTTGAATGCACATAATGGTCTATGGGAGCACTCTCGCTGTGATGCACGAGGTCGCCTAATCACACAGTTCCTCTTTTCTTCGGGTGTGTGTCTGTTGAACAGGAGAGAGCCAACACACTTTAGTCTCGCCAACAAAACCTACTCATGCATAGATCTCAGCATTGTGTCCCCATCGCTTGTACCCCTGCTTCAATGGAAAGTGATCAACAATCCTTTCGAAAGTGACCATTTTCCGATCATTTTAGATACACCACTAGAAAAAGGTCCCCCACATGTTCCCAGATGGCAGACAGACAAAGCGGACTGGGAAAAGTTTAGAGAAGCTACTCGCTTAAGTTGGTCAGACATACGTCAATGAAGTATAGATGCAGCTGTATACTTTTTGACAGACTTATTGATGCTGCAGCAAAGTGTATCCCACAAACTGGACGGTCCACCAGGCGCCACGTTGCTTGGTGAAACAGTGAATGTCGGAATGCATGCAGAAAGCAAAATAAAGCATGGAAGTTGCTTCGAGACTTTCTGACAGCAGAGAATCTTACAAATTTTTAAAACATAAAGTCTCAAGGCAGGGGGACGCACCAACAGGCCAGAAGGGAAAGTTGGCACAACTTTATATCAGGCATCAATTCATATACACAGGAGGCCAAAGTCAGGAACATGATTAGGAGAATAGCAGGAAGACAAGTACATTCACTCCCTCTCGTAAAGACACAAAGTAACAGCTTGGAAGATCAAGCAAACTTTCTCGGCGCACACTTGGAAAAAGTGTCCAGCTCGTCACACTATAGTGAACCTTCCAAAGAAACAAAAGAATTGAAAAGCAGAAACGAGAACA